AAAGTCAAGAGACACATGAAAAAGAGATGAGTCTCATCTTGTACCTAAATCAAAGTAGTGAAAGTTAACTGACACATCAAGGCGAGACATACAAATTGTTGTCTTCTTATATCACATGTACTCTGCAAAAGCATGAAGATACTTTAACCATTAATTAAGCAAAAGATTGAGAAAAGAAGAAAACTGTAGACAGATACAATAAGAAACCGAATAATATTTAACCAGAACAAACATTAAGACAATATTACAGACTCAGACACAATAAGACACAAACTCGGACACAATAAGACAAAGATTACAATATTACAGACACAGAAAGCATTAAGATACAATAAGACACATAAACATACAGATAAATAAACTCAGACACAAAGCATTAAGATCAACAAACTCAGACACAAGGTATTAAGAGAAACAAAGCTAAAGATCTTACTTAAAATATATAGCCTACATGTCATTAATAATGTTATTTTGCAAAGCTATTTTAAGTTCATTCAGTGGCTATGTCTTGGCAATTAGGTTGTCAAGCAATTTTTTCTTTTTAAGCTTCTCCTTCAAGGCAAAGTCCTTTTTCCTTATCTCCCACATGCTCTGAAACTCCATCCTCGCCTTCACTTCCTCTTCCTTACTCCCTGGCTTGCTCACAGACTTTTTTCCTGAGGCCTTTTATACTTTAACACCAATTAGCCGAGCTAATGCTTCATCCTCTCCAAGACTTCTTGGCAGAGGTTGATGACTGTGTGAATTGGTCATATAACTTCTTACTGTTTGATTGAACTTTATCTTTAGTAGAAGAAGCTCCACACCATTTCTGATTATGGCGAAGCTCCAACCATGCATGCTCCAGTGTGAACTTCACATTGTAATCATTGTAGAACATCTCGTGAGCCATCTTCAAAATGTCATTCTCGTTTTGTCCACTCGATCTCTGTTTCGTTGCAGCTTCATAACAACCAACAAACTTTCAAACACCTTCATTGATCTTCCCCCACCTTTGTTTACAGTGTGCTGGCTCTCTCTTTTGCAAACCAGCCAACTTTGGACTCGCAGCAAAATAATCAGCAATTCGTTTCCAAAACACAATTGCTTTCTGCTCATTCCCAACCACTAGATCTTTAGAGGTGTTTAACCAAGCACTTATGAGCACACCATCTTTTCTTGGTGACCATTTACGTCTTTCTTTACGGTCACACACAGTCTCTGCATCTTCGGTGCCATGTTCAGTCCATTGTGAACCGAACACAGAGGCATCCGACGCATAGACTTCTATACTAGGCTCACCCGGGACAGAATGATAGGGGTGCTGAGTGTTTGGTTGTTAACTGTTTAAGAGGTTTTGAAAGCTACAATGTTGACTATATGGATCCATAAACTTGTCTAAAGGAGAAGGAAAGAACAAAAGAGAAGGAATTAGCTATGGAGAAAGAATTGGTTTGGAGAATAAAATAGCTTTGGAGTCAAGTTTTACAGTTGTTAGAGTTTTAAGTTGTTGAAGTTTTAAAGGCTATATTTAATGGTGTTAAAGTTTTTTAGTAGTTGAAGTTTTAGGTTGTTAAAGTTTTTAGTTGTTAATATCAATCAATATCCACACCTAAAACTAAAACAACCACACAAACTAGATGTAAATCACTTCAAAACTAAAGTCCATTTAATTTCCAACCTAATCAATATATAACAACTATTAAAAGAAAATCTACTTACAGGGAATAAGCTTTTAATTACCTCTTTCCAACTGTGAAGTGAAAGACAGAAGCTTTGAGGACGTTGAATCCATTGTCTTTTGTGAGAGTGGATTCCGTAACGAATGAATAGACAAACTCATCAACTTTCTTCCACGCACATCTTCAACCCTCACACAACCAACAAAGAAAGTAAACTTAAACGGTTGTTCTCTGCAAAGAGATAAACGAAAACAAAAACAAACAAACAACAATAAACATGGGGACTCTGTTTCTATCTAACAATACGAAAACAAAAGCAATAATCTCATCATCATCACTTGTTAAAATTAACCAACCCAAACTGTGTTTCTATGCAAAAGACTCTATTTTTTAAACAGTTACACTAAGCTTAAGCATCATCACAAGTTAAAATCAACCAATGAACCCAAGATCATCATCGTCAGTTGTTAAAATCAACCAACACTAACTCAGTTTCTACGCAAAAGATTCAATTTTTTTTCAACAGACACATGATAATCTACTAGTAAAATATTTTACCTTCCTCAAGATCATCATGCAAAATCATCATGAACATCAGTTTTTACAAGTTATTTTTCTACAAAGAAGGGATGTTCGTAGTAATCTTTCCTCTTCTATAACTTTCATCCTTTCCTCGATCCTTGCTTTCTCTTGAAACTGATTCCTCTGAAGAAGTTTCTTCTCTCTTTTGATCTTCATTAGAGTCTCAGAGCGTGGGAGAAAAAATGACATCAACATTGTAGTGTCGAAAACGGAAAATTGAGTGGCGATCGGCTTCACAATCGACAGTGAATCGAGAAAATAGGAGATCGACAGATTTTCATAGGAATGTGTCACGTAAGAGGCCTTAATAAACCTTAAAATCTCAATTTAAACATCGGTTCTTTTTTTTTTCATTTTTTTCCCTTTTTTTTAAGTCCCATGGACCTGGTCCTAGATAGCGTTGGAACTTGGAACAAAAGTGAACTACTTAAGCAAAAAACATGGACAAGAATATGTAAGCAACTAGAAAAAGAATATATATATATATACATAACCTCCTCGACCACACCTTCGGACTTACAACCCCAATAATACAACCACACTGATAATTTGTTAAAAAAGCAAATATTTCCATTAATTTCAAGATTTGGAAACGTAGATCTTGCGTAGACATGCCAGTATGATAATATAGTAAACAGTAGAATAAAAATAAAAAAAAATGGTTGGAACATCGTTTTAAAGGAGACTAAATAAAATGCCGACAAAAGAGTTAAACTAATTAATTTGTCGTATATACAATAATACATCGTATTCTGTTCTTTCTTATTTGTTCCTCGTGAGACACATTTGATTGTGGACCACAGGTTCCCTGCCCTATCTTTTTAAATGGCATGATCAGGGCTTTACGTCATATCACGATAAAAACCAACTCATGTTCTTCTGTCCATATCTAAACCATTTCTTTTATAGATTCCTTCACTTTCTCTGGAAGCAACCAGATCAATCAAACAAACCAACCACCGTGAACATGTCAGGACTCGACGGCGTAGAGCACAAAACCCTCAAGGTAAACGGCATAAACATGCACGTGGCTGAGCTTCCCGGATCCGGATCTGGAGGAGATCCCACTATCCTCTTCATCCACGGATTCCCGGAGCTTTGGTACACGTGGCGGCACCAGATGACTGCGCTTTCGTCCCTGGGGTACCGGACCATCGCACCGGATCTTCGAGGGTACGGAGACACGGACGCGCCAGAGAAACTGGAAGAGTACACTTACTTTAACATAGTTGGAGACTTGGTTGCACTCATCGATGCAGTGACCGGTGGAGACGGGCAGGTTTTCGTGGTGGGTCATGACTGGGGAGCGATGATCGCGTGGCAGTTGTGTATGTACAGACCGGAGAAAGTCAAAGCTCTGGTCAACATGAGCGTCCTCTTCTCTCCGAGGAACCCAGATCGTGTCCCGATTCCGACACTAAGACGTTTCTTCGGTGACGATTATTACATCTGCAGATTTCAGGTATTGATCAAGTGAAATACCTGTATTATTTAACC